GTTGGATGGTGATGTTGTATTCCTGGGCGAGCAGGGCCCACCACATTAGCTGCTGGTTCTGGTTGTACATCTGCACCAGGAATACAAGGGGATTGTGGTCTGTGAACACTGAGAATGGGACATTAGTAGATTAGTAGAGCCGACATAAACATTAGAGTGCTGGAGGGCTAGGAGTAGTTGAGCTAGTGCTTCTTGAACTTTGCAGAAAAGTAGGATATGGATGAGGAACCCCAGCATCCCCTTGTACGAGCACATCACCAGCTCCAGGATAAATGACTTCGAGTAGGCAAAGAGGACAGGAGCACTGCATCGGAGAGACTTAGCAGCCAGGAACGCACCTTCACACTCTGCGGTCCACAGGAAAGGGACAGCAGGACTGCACAGGGCAGAGAGGGGTCACTAGAACACAGGGGTTTTTGCGAAAACACTGGTAGTAAACCACAAACCCAAAAAAACGGCGCAGTTCCCTGCATGTGGTAGATGGAGAATATGAAAATGCAGGCCTCACTTGTCCATAGCCAACAACCTTCCCAAGGTAGAGGCCTTGCCAAAATCCCATTTTGCCAAGTTCAGTATCGGATTAGCTGTAGAAAGACAACGAAAAACCTCAGACAGAGTCTGGACACTAAGGAACATCACTTATACTATGTACATCTGTAAGATACATAGTATTAAATCATTATTAATTATCATCAGGACTAGAACCTCCCGCCACAAGAACAGTTTCTTCCCCTCTGCTGTTGGACTCTTGAACACTTCTTAACCTGTCCCCCCAACCTTTATAAAGTCACTTTACTGCCCATCATACGTCACTTTACTTCACTGTACTGCTGTCACCTTACATTGTGTGCACCATGTGCACTTGGATATTGTAAATAGTAACTGTAACTCTATTTTAAATTTACATTTATTCCTTAGAAGTGTTTTTTATTCTATATTTTTATTATCTCTCTCTGACTGTTGCACTGAGCCAAAGCAATTTCCAAGTCTGTGACTTCTGTTACTTACGTGGCAATAAAAATGATTCTATATATATATATAGAAAAAACATACAGAATATGATTATGGTAAAACTGTGACAAATGTAAACAATAAAACACAAAGCTGAAATTCACCTGAGAGACATTGTTCAATTTAGGAACAAATAAAATAAAGGAATGTATGAAATGAGGTTGACGGATTGAGAACTGTTTCAACAATTTATTTTTGTAATGACTAAAGCTGTCAGTCAGTATGTTTCATTCTGACTGACAGGACAGAAGCAAATGATAATGTTAAAAAACAGCAGAGAACTGTATGAAAGTAACTGATACATGAACAAAAGCATTTGTAATGTGTTCAGAGGAGAAACTGCTGATGATGTCACACACGACTCAGTGCTGCCGAGGTTGGACTAATAGTTTTGAGAACGTTAAGTCTGAGAAATGCACCAAAGTGACAGAGAAAAACTGTTTCTTCTTTTGTAGCATTTAAAAATCAATTAAATCTCACCAACAATTGATCTTTCCACAAGATGGTAAAGTGGTGATAAAGTGGTTTAGCGACTTCAGTGGTGGGACAGTAATGTTTAAGATGCTAGTTACAATTACATGCAGTAGAAAATGCAAAGATTACAGTAAGTAGCATATTTGTTTTATTTAATTCATTATAAATTTAAACATTACATTACGTTGCACGTTTGTTTTCTTTTAATCAACTTTATTATTATCATTCATATTTTTTAACTACAGTCAGCATGACATTAGGTTTTACTCATTTTAAAGCTGCACTAACTGACTTTGGGATTTTGAAGCCGTGGACTCGCTGGCCTCTCTCTTTCTGCTCCCCTCCCCGCACCCACGAAGCTATCGCCCCCCCACACACACCCACTGTTGTTGACGGAGTTAGCGTCTCCCAATATGGATAATACACGAATATGGATTTGCACGTGGATGGCGTGACCATAGAACGATAGAACCGGGAAGAGCGGAGGAACGAGACTTTCTTTTGGATGTCTCGCTGTGTAAGCAGTAACCGGTGACGAAGACGAGGAAGCTTCAGGTTAGCTCCGCCGCTTGTTGTGCTAACTCAGCCGTCTATGCTAACGGACCTGTAGATTTCTCACGAAAGTGGGGGCCTGTGGTCCGCTGTGATTGGTCACAATCTGCGACCCGAAACACATTCTCTTCCTTGTTTCATCAAAACTCGATCTAAAATATAATGTCACACCAGCACAAATCTGCGCTACTTATTCTTCAAAAGGACGTATATCCCAATGCACTACATGGACATGGATAGCATTTTAGTAATGAATACAAAATTAAACTCAGTTAATGCAGCTTTAACTAAGCAAATCCTCCCCCTCTCCAGAAGATGGCAAAGTAAAGTGGTTCAGTAACTTCAGCTCAGCCTGTGATAATGGCCTTATTTACATAACAAAGTTGGCCGTTCACAGGTGATTTAGGCCCTGTTTATACTGAGACGCTGCGCAGACGTTTCCAGGCTATTAACAGAAACGACCTGGCTCCTAATGCAAATTTCTCTGCGTTCACATGAGGTTGAAAAACGATGTAGTTCTAGCGCCCGGCCAGTAGTGGGCAGAGACACTTTACAACACTCACACGACCCCCAGCCCCGTGCCCAGCCCCCCTCTCTGCAGTGTACTCACTTCCTGTGCCAGACCCTCAGAGAGTACCAACATCATTCTGCATTTTAACAGCAGCTGTGAAAATGGAAACTGAACCTAGAGCTTGGCGTGGTCTCGTTTGGACGAACGAAGGAGTAGAATTATCCTCTGTGCTGTGCTCGAAGCCCACAAAGCTAGTTAGTGTGACCGCCGCCATTGTTGTTTATGTTTGTTCTCCGCTACTGCACATGTCCAAATGTACGTGTGGGAGCAGCATGAGGTGAGGGTCAGAGCAGCAGGAGGTGGGGGTCAGAGCAGCAGGAGGTGGGGGTCAGAGCAGCAGGAGGTGGGGTCAGAGCAGCAGGAGGCGGGGGTCAGAGCAGCAGGAGGTGGGGGTCAGAGCAGCAGGAGGTGGGGGTCAGAGCAGCAGGAGGTGGGGGTCAGAGCAGCAGGAGGTGGGGGTCAGAGCAGCAGGAGGCGGGGGTCAGAGCAGCAGGAGGTGGGGGTCAGAGCAGCAGGAGGTGGGGGTCAGAGCAGCAGGAGGTGGGGGTCAGAGCAGCAGGAGGTGGGGTCAGAGCAGCAGGAGGTGGGGGTCAGAGCAGCAGGAGGTGGGGTCAGAGCAGCAGGAGGTGGGGGTCAGAGCAGCAGGAGGTGGGGTCAGAGCAGCAGGAGGTGAGGGTCAGAGCAGAGGAGGTGGGGGTCAGAGCAGCAGGAGGTGGGGGTCAGAGCAGCAGGAGGTGGGGGTCAGAGCAGCAGGAGGTGGGGGTCAGAGCAGCAGGAGGCGGGGGTCAGAGCAGCAGGAGGTGGGGGTCAGAGCAGCAGGAGGTGGGGGTCAGAGCAGCAGGAGGTGGGGGTCAGAGCAGCAGGAGGTGGGGGTCAGAGCAGCAGGAGGTGGGGGTCAGAGCAGCAGGAGGTGGAGTCAGAGCAGCAGGAGGTGGGGGTCAGAGCAGCAGGAGGTGGGGGTCAGAGCAGCAGGAGGTGGAGTCAGAGCAGCAGGAGGTGGAGGTCAGAGCAGCAGGAGGTGGGGGTCAGAGCAGCAGGAGGTGGGGGTCAGAGCAGCAGGAGGCGGGGGTCAGAGCAGCAGGAGGTGGGGGTCAGAGCAGCAGGAGGTGGGGGTCAGAGCAGCAGGAGGTGGGGGTCAGAGCAGCAGGAGGTGGGGGTCAGAGCAGCAGGAGGTGGGGGTCAGAGCAGCAGGAGGTGGGGGTCAGAGCAGCAGGAGGTGGGGTCAGAGCAGCAGGAGGTGGGGGTCAGAGCAGCAGGAGGTGGGGGTCAGAGCAGCAGGAGGTGGGGGTCAGAGCAGCAGGAGGTGGGGGTCAGAGCAGCAGGAGGTGGGGGTCAGAGCAGCAGGAGGTGGGGGTCAGAGCAGCAGGAGGTGGGGGTCAGAGCAGCAGGAGGTGGGGGTCAGAGCAGCAGGAGGTGGGGGTCAGAGCAGCAGGAGGTGGGGGTCAGAGCAGCAGGAGGTGGGGGTCAGAGCAGCAGGAGGTGGGGGTCAGAGCAGCAGGAGGTGGGGGTCAGAGCAGCAGGAGGTGGGGGTCAGAGCAGCAGGAGGTGGGGTCAGAGCAGCAGGAGGTAGGGGTCAGAGCAGCAGGAGGTGGGGGTCAGAGCAGCAGGAGGTGAGGGTCAGAGCAGCAGGAGGTGGGGGTCAGAGCAGCAGGAGGTGGGGGTCAGAGCAGCAGGAGGTGGGGTCAGAGCAGCAGGAGGTAGGGGTCAGAGCAGCAGGAGGTGGGGGTCAGAGCAGCAGGAGGTGAGGGTCAGAGCAGCAGGAGGTGAGGGTCAGAGCAGCAGGAGGTGGGGGTCAGAGCAGCAGGAGGTGAGGGTCAGAGCAGCAGGAGGTGAGGGTCAGAGCAGCAGGAGGTGGGGGTCAGAGCAGCAGGAGGTGGGGGTGTGAAAGAGCCCCCGCTGTGCAGCGTTTCTGAGGCTGGATCTGAACACTTACGTTTTCACCTGGAACAGTCTTCGTATGAACGCTTGGTAGAAACCGACATCCAACTATAGCGTTTTACTGCCACATTGTCTCTGTGTAAACTCAGCCTTAGTTTGTTAGCTAAAATCCCTGGAGTCATTTGGCACCGTGGTGAGCTTTTTAGGTAGAAGTGCCAAATGGCACCTCCATGGGACTTTTAGTGTTGTCCACTGGGCTGGGGACTGGACTGGAGACGTGTGAAGAGGTGGGGGCGGGAGGGGGGCAGATGGAGGGAGGGGGGGAATTGAACCGGTTGAAATATTGGTTCAATTCATCCGCCTAGCGCTGGTCTCCATCCGCTGTATATATATATAATATTGATACTGTATATTTATTTTATATATATATATATATATATTAGTATATACAGTATATACTGAGAAGAGTTATGTACCCTGATAGTAAATCTGTTCTTGTTCCTCTTCCTATCAGCTCTCCCCTGCCCGGAGAACAGCCACTTTGAAGAGTGCACCACGGCTTGCCCTCTAACCTGTTCAAACCTGGATGACCTTGAGGAGTCATGTCCAATGGCCTGCCAAGAGGGCTGCCAGTGCGAAGATGGCTATGCGCTGTTGGACGGCCTATGCGTGGCCCGGCAAGACTGCGGATGCATGAGTCACGGTCGACACCTGGCCACCAACCAAACGTTTTGGACCGACTGGGAGTGCCAAGAGCGTTGCTTCTGCAACGGCTCTGACAACAACATATACTGTGTCCCAGAGCCCTGCCTGCCGGAAGAGTACTGCAGAGAGAGCGACGGCCTGCATTATTGCCAGCCGCGCACTGAGGCGCTGTGTGTGGTGGCTGGATACGGACACTTTCTACCTTTTGCGGGTGCAGCGTTTGAGCTGCAGAGCTCGTGCACGTTGCAACTGGTCACCTCTGATTGCGGGATCATCTCCCGAGAGCAGACGGCAGGCGCACTGCCTTCATTTAAGTTGGCTGTCCGGAACGAGGAGCGGGACACATCGCAGGCCATCTGGGTGAAGGGGTTTGTGCTGGAGGCGTATGACTACGAAATCGAAGTGACACGGAGCTACAAGAACACAGTCACGGTGAGTCAGCAACACTTGTTGGTAAGGATGGACTTATCACCATTTACAAAACTGATAGTATACGCATACCTTCAGTTTTGTAAACTTGATACCAGGCTTTAATTTATTGAGCTTGTTAAAATTCAGCAAAATAAAGTCACTGTATACTAAATAAATAAGAGAAATACATATAATTATTGAATTGAAAAACAAATCCATCTTTCAGTCACTGAAATAGTTTTTGCCTCAATGCTGGCACCAGTGGAGTTTTGGCAGATTTATTTACTAATGCTGCTTACTTGTATAATGCACGCCATAACCCATACTTAAAGCAGCAGTAAGCGATTTGGTCGTTTCCGGCAGTTTCTTCTGCCTGAGCGAGTTAGTAGCCCCGCCCCCGTCTCCTCGTCACACCACATGAACGCGCATCGTCTTGGTGATGGCAGCAGCATGTTCATCTCCGTCGGGTCTACTCGTAAGTATATTAACAAACTCTGGGAGTGAAATATTAGCATAGAATAGCTCAGTTGTAACCTAGCTATAACACTGGAAGCAGCTTGGTGTTAGCTAGGATAGCATCACTAAGAAAGAGATAAAAACAATCCAGTCTTTTATAGAATAATACTGCTTTTATAGTTGGCACACTGATAACTGTTTTGATAAACATAATGTTGCAGATTGCAGTGTGACGTGTCTCAACATTATGCACTGTAACATCTCTTACAGTGCATATGTATTAGATGAATGTAATGCATATACATTACAACAACAAAGCTTTACATGAAGGTTATTTAAAGTAATACATTACTGCTTTCCTCACAATTTGTATATTTGGAGTTCTTTATAGACAACACTGTAGTAATGTATTGTGTGAAAGTAAAGCTGCATCTCACTGGAAGCTGCCTTCTCAATGTCACAAAATAAAGATACATTTATTGATGTAATCAACATCTGTATTATGTGCTTATTGTTCAGAGAATGAAGACAAAATCAAAGTGTATCAGAGCTGTACAGTGAGATGTGGGACTGAAAAACAATTCCAGTAAAGCTTGTCCGAAACGCAAAAGTACTGTCATAACTAATTACGTTACACTATTACACTGTAAGGAAACTCACCACTTTGAAAGAAAAGCTACAAGTAACAGAATATATAAAGTCATTTGTCATAACGGTTCTTTCAGGAAGCACTGAACGCCCTCTGTCCAGAGAAGCTGATGACCAGATCCTTTCCCTGATGCGTCTGTGAAAGGTGCCAACAGACATTGAAAACGTGCTTTCCTCAGCGGCCCCCATGGTGCACGTCCTCAGCGGCCCCCATGGTGCACGTCCTCAGCGGCCCCCATGGTGCACGTCCTCAGCGGCCCCCATGGTGCACGTCCTCAGCGGCCCCCATGGTGCACGTCCTCAGCGGCCCCCATGGTGCACGTCCTCAGCGGCCCCCATGGTGCACGTCCACTCTGCAGTTCTGAAATATGTTTGTAGTTGTACTATTTCAAAATAAAAAAAAATACATTCACCTCTTTCAATGTGCTTTGTTTTATAGTAGGAAAACAAATACAGTCTGTAACGAGTCTAAGAAACTTTATTATGTAAAAGAAGATTTGAAGTTATAGCCGGAAAAATATACACAATGTCCCTACTAAGACAAATAATTACAAGTGATGGTAAGGCAACGTTTGTGTTATCACTTTTTGCTCAAATGAATAACACTGTTATTATCCAGGTCCTTATCCATCGCTGCTGCAGCGAACACTGACAGAGATATCTAACAAAATGTTCATCTTTATGTTGTAGCTTGTTTGAACACATTTCCTCAAAATAATTCATAAGCAGCCACGCACACACAGCCACAAGCACACACAAGCACACACAGTCACAAGCACACACAGTCACAAGCACACACAGCCACAAGCACACACAGCCACAAGCACACACAGCCACAAGCACACACAGTCACAAGCACACACAGTCACAAGCACACACAGTCACAAGCACACACAGCCACAAGCACACACAGCCACAAGCACACACAGCCACAAGCACACACAGTCACAAGCACACACAGTCACAAGCACACACAGTCACAAGCACACACAGCCACAAGCACACACAGCCACAAGCACACACAGTCACAAGCACACACAGTCACAAGCACAGTCACACACAGTCACAAACAGTCACAAGCACACACAGCCACAAGCACACACAGTCACAAGCACACACAGTCACAAGCACACACAGTCACAAGCACACACAGCCACAAGCACACACAGCCACAAGCACACACAGTCACAAGCACAGTCACACACAGTCACAAACAGTCACAAGCACACACAGTCACAAGCACACACAGCCACAAGCACACACAGTCACAAGCACACACAGTCACAAGCACACACAGCCACAAGCACACACAGCCACAAGCACACACAGTCACAAGCACACACAGTCACAAGCACAGTCACACACAGTCACAAACAGTCACAAGCACACACAGTCACAAGCACACACAGTCACAAGCACACACAGCCACAAGCACACACAGTCACAAGCACACACAGTCACAAGCACACACAGTCACAAGCACACACAGCCACAAGCACACACAGCCACAAGCACACACAGTCACAAGCACACACAGTCACAAGCACACACAGTCACAAGCACAGTCACACACAGTCACAAACAGTCACAAGCACAAACAGTCACAAGCACACACAGCCACACGCACACACAGCCACACGCACACACAGCCACACGCACACACAGTCACACGCACACACAGCCACAAGCACACACAGCCACACACACACACAGCCACACGCACACACAGCCACACGCACACACAGCCACACGCACACACAGCCACACGCACACACAGCCACACGCACACACAGCCACACGCACACACAGTCACACGCACACACAGCCACACGCACACACAGTCACAAGCACACACAGCCACACGCACACACAGCCACAAGCACACACAGTCACAAGCACACACAGTCACAAGCACACACAGCCACAAGCACACACAGTCACAAGCACACACAGCCACAAGCACACACAGTCACAAGCACACACAGTCACAAGCACACACAGTCACACGCACACACAGTCACAAGCACACACAGCCACACGCACACACAGCCACACGCACACACAGCCACACGCACACACAGCCACACGCACACACAGCCACACGCACACACAGCCACACGCACACACAGCCACACGCACACACAGCCACACGCACACACAGTCACACGCACACACAGTCACACGCACAGACAGCCACAAGCACACACAGCCACAAGCACACACAGCCACACGCACACACAGCCACACGCACACACAGCCACAAGCACACACAGTCACAAGCACACACAGCCACACGCACACACAGCCACACGCACAGACAGCCACAAGCACACACAGCCACAAGCACACACAGCCACACGCACACACAGCCACACGCACACACAGCCACAAGCACACACAGTCACAAGCACACACAGCCACACGCACACACAGTCACAAGCACACACAGCCACAAGCACACACAGCCACAAGCACACACAGCCACACGCACACACAGCCACACGCACACACAGTCACACGCACAGACAGCCACAAGCACACACAGCCACACGCACACACAGCCACACGCACACACAGCCACACGCACACACAGCCACAAGCACACACAGTCACAAGCACACACAGCCACACGCACACACAGCCACACGCACAGACAGCCACAAGCACACACAGCCACAAGCACACACAGCCACACGCACACACAGCCACACGCACACACAGCCACAAGCACACACAGTCACAAGCACACACAGCCACACGCACACACAGTCACAAGCACACACAGCCACACGCACACACAGCCACAGTCACACACAGTCACACGCACACACAGTCACACGCACAGACAGCCACGCTTCAGGGGCCCAGGTTGAAGGAACTGGAGTCTTCCTCTGGCAGAGATTTTCCTTTGAAACATAATAGAAGAGACATCAGTTTTATCTACTCAAATATGACTTTGATATATTCATCATCAACAACATCAGTATTTATTGATCACCAGGAGTGGCCCCTGATCTACAACAGTAGTATTTATTGATCACCAGGAGTGGCCCCTGATCTACAACAGTAGTATTTATTGATCACCAGGAGTGGCCCCTGATCTACAACAGTAGTATGTATTGATCACCAGGAGTGGCCCCTGATCTACAACAGTAGTATTTATTGATCACCAGGAGTGGCCCCTGATCTACAACAGTAGTATTTATTGATCACCAGGAGTGGCCCCTGATCTACAACAGTAGTATGTATTGATCACCAGGAGGGGCCCCTGATCCACAGGATCCTTGAACATGTTTATTTGGACTGTGAGAGACTGTGCATTGTGAGAGAAAGACACTTACATCGGCTGTTTTGGGAGTCGAGTGATTATCTCACTCCTCTTGATTGTTGAAGAAACTCAGCGACAGTTTTGTCAACACTGACTCCTGGAACATGATGGATATTCATTTTGGACCTCAGGGCAGCAACACAACTGTAGGGATGAACGACACACACATCACAACATCATTATCATAATCACTGCGTCCCATATATGCATTCACAACAACCTACATGACAAATGTGGGGTGTAAAGTCTTCCTCAGGAGATGACAATGGCCATTCTTCTAATTCTGGAAGCAAAGTCTTGTCTTCAGTCAATACTAGAGAAAGAAGAGGTCAGCAGAAAAGTATCTAGTCGTTATGCCATTGTTTTTTTTTTAATAGTTATTTAACTTGCATTATGGAGGCTTTTGAACTCTTGTACTTTGAAGACCTCATTCCAATTGATTTAGGCCATACTGGAAAAGATACAGAGAAAAGAATGCAATGAAGACATGTAAATTATTACAATGTCTATATTATATCATGCTCATAATTTATTTGGTAGTAGTCAGCAAGACTTTTCTTACTTATTCTCAATACATAATAATAAAAATGTATGTAGTGGTCACGGAAGTTAGATTTGAGGTAAAGAGATATTGTTTTTATAACAATAAAACTAATATACAGAGTGCAAGTTGAAAAACTTAGTCATTGAAGAATGAAATGCAGACCTACATATATATATATATATATATATATAGTGCAAGCAACTATGTTTATTGGCAAAAACAAACGATTCATACAGATCAGAAGTGTTCGTAGCAGCCACATCATATTCACAACTACAGACAGCTAATGCTAACAGCGAACGCTAATGCTAACAGTTAACGCTAATGCTAACAGCGAACGCTAATGCTAACAGCTAACGCTAATAGCTAACGCTAATGCTAACACCACTTCACGGGGGAACTCTGGTGATATGGTCATTTAATTTTGTACATGTGGGGAACTAATAATTGACCGGAGTTTATGGATGGCTGAGGCTGGGCTAAGGCTTCGATGTTGTAAGTAAGTAAGTAAGTAGTAAGCTTTTATTTATATACCGCCTTTTCACTGCACATCGGAGTCTCAAAGCGGTTTACAATTGTTGGGTGGGGGTGCCAGTACAGGAGGCACATGCCAGACCTATTGTACATATTTTTAGTGGTAGGGGAAACCGGAGCACCCGGAGGAAACCTACGCAGACACGGGGAGAACATGCAAACTCCACTCAGAAAGGCCCTGGTCCAACCGGGATTCGAACCCAGGACCTTCTTGCTGAGAGGCAAGAGTGCTATCCACTCAGCCACCGTGCCGCCCGGTGAGGTTTTTTTATTAAATAGGTGGGAGAAGACTGGAAGGACTGAGAGATCCGTGTTTAGGTACAAACACTCTATATAAGTGATGGCTATTGGAATATATCAATATTTAAGACGTATATTAACACCCAAAAATCGCTTACTGCTGCTTTAACCGTAATTAAACACAATTATTGCGATTAGGACTCTTCAACATTATGGCCCAAAATAAATAAATAGATATAGAGTTGGGCCCTAAAAAAGAATACATATTTTTGGGGTTTTTGTAAGAATCGATTTGTTTATTTTGAATCAATGTTTTTGTTTTGTTTCAAGCAACAGTGTTTGTTCTGTAATTTTCCCACTGTGGGACTAAAAAAGGATGCATTCATATGACACGAGTGTGTTTTGGAGTTGGGAGGAGGCCAGACATAGCCTTTAGAAGGATTTTAAATGTCTTACTCCAAAGGAAACCAGTTTAGCAAATGTATCAGTGGAGTTACTGTATATGTTCCCTCCTTTTAAAATCCTTGATGCTGTATTTTCTTTTAGAGGATTTAGGGCCTGCTGCCCCTGGGCATTACAGTGATGTATGTAAGGGGTTCCCAAAGTTTTTAACCCACAATCCCCATGATAAGTGAGTATCAAGAAGTCACAAAATAGGAAATGGCTTCGGCTCTCGGTGCAAACAAGTTAAAGCGGAATAAAATCAAAGGCATGCATAAATAAAAATGTACATACATTTCTTCAGTTCACTACATACAAGTGCATTAGGTGCACACGGTAGACCGTTAAGAGTGCGGTAGAGTGCAGTGTTCATGAGTCCAACAGCAGAGGGGAGGAAACTGTTCTTATGGCAGAAGGTTCTGGTCATGGATCTATTATATTAACTGGATAGGGTATTACTAGCTTGTACCTGAATAACCCACGTGCTCAGGGGATTCTCGCGGTACTGCAGACTGAACCAGACTAAATTCACGTGGGCTACCCAGAAATTTTCCCCATAGAACTCAATGCATATTAAAACAGCTCAACCTCAGCTGACAGAGAACCTGACAGAGAACCTGACAGAGAACCTACAGCTTTCATAAAGGTCGAACTTTTTTTCTTCTTAAATCCTTCGGTTTTGTTTAAATCCACACTTTACTGCCACAAACTCTGCTCGTCTGGCTCTGGCTCTAACTCCCGCTCTGATGAACTGCTCTGATTGGTCAGAGCCGAGCCCCTCTGTGCACGTGCATGAGACCCTCTGTGCACGTGCGTGAGACCCTCTGTGCACGTGCGTGAGACCCACACACGCGTGTTTGGCGCAACGCATTATGGGAGATCATCCACTGCACAGAACCGGGAGGACCAGTCGATGCCCAAATACAGGCGAGTTTCCCATAGATCTGTAGGGTATGAAAATTGTATGTGGAGAGGGGAGGCTTTGTATCAGTTTGTGTCGGTATTAAACGCCGCAAACGTAGTCCTAAGCCTCGCCTACTCCGGGTTGAATGGATCTAAATTTTAAGTAAGAGGGGCACCAGCAGAGTTCGAAAAGTCTGCACAGATCCATTCTGCCTCGATCAGTCTCATAATCTGATAGGTCTTGAGCTCTATATCGGCCAGGGATATCATGAATTATACAAAGTATACACTGACGACTCTTAAAAGTTAGCGTGGGTTTATTAACTACATATAGAACGTGAACGGTAACCGGGAGGGATCACACAAGTATGATAAGTCACATGAACAGGAATGTCAGAAACACATCACCATCACACACAATACAACTCCAATAAGTCTTACTGTTACTGCCAAGTCCCAGAGGTGAAGATGCTTTATACCCGTTTGGGTCAGGCGGTCAAACACTTCAGACTTCCTCACGCACGGAGAGCGGCCGCACACACTCCAGTCTTTCCCACACACGGGAGCAGGGAGCGGGGGTCGGTCCCGGGAAGCCCAGAGGTGGCTTGAGGCGCGATGGTCCACGGTGCTCCTTTTTGGTGGGAGTTGGAGAGCGCTGCGGGACAGGCAAGTCGAGTTCAGCTCGATAGGGAAAAGGATCGGGCAGCGAGCTCCAACCTGCGCCTGGGTTGAAGTTGTGGGCCCCTGGATCGCGCAGGGGAGTGGGCCGCGCTCCAAGACGCGGCCCACTGGCCCAGAGAAAGTTTCAAAGAGAGCTCCCAAAAGGTTCACAAGCAAAAGTTAACACGAAAGTTATTGTGTCTCTGTTTTTGTTCCGGCTCTGGGGGCGTGTCTTATGACGTCGACTTTCCGCGCCTCCAGAACTCCTTATCATAGTTTTAAGCACATACACGTTACTTAGACATAGACACACAACACACCTTGTTCACAGACAATGGTACACACGTTTTCTGATTTAAGATGTTAGCAAAACAACATATTCATCCGTGGTTTCAGTTGTCCGTCTCAGGTGTATTGGCGTCCCGTGTCCACTGGGGGGGTGGTGGAACGCCGTTGCCGGATCGCCGGCCCATGGGTGATGTCTATGGCTTTGTTTGAGGCGATGCAGACCCACTGGCCCCCTTTGAGCTCGCCGGGGGTGGGGGCCAGAGGTGTGCTCTGGGGTCGATCACTGTCTTTGAGATGACTGCTGTATCTATGTGAGCCATTGTGGTGCTCTATCCGACCTCCATCGCCTTAGATGTTCCGAGCCGTGTGTTTTTGTTATCTCACACACAACCGGCCTGGGTCATCGCGGGGGCAGTGCATTTTATTACCTTACAGATCTTTGCGAGTTTCAGGCAACTTCCGCTAATCTTTCAGCCCCCATGCCGTCACAAAGCGCCACTGAGCACAACCATTCATTTAAATAGGGCGCCATCTTGGATCGCCGGGGCGTGGTTCTGGTCCATCAGGACTGTAGTCTCCTGCTGCCTGAGGGAAGGCGGGTGACAGGGGCCAGCTGTGATACAACCAGCCCGCCGGGCGACGTACAGGTCCTGCAGCGATGGAAGGCTGCGGCCGATCACTTCCTCTGCAGAGACCACAATGCACTGTAGTCTCTGTTTGTCCCTGACTGTGGCTCCAGCAAACCACACGGTGATGGAGGAGGTGATAGAGGAGGTGATGGAGGAGGTGAAGGAGGAGGTGATGAGGAGGTGAAGGAGGAGGTGATGGAGGAGGTGATGAGGAGGTGAAGGAGGAGGTGATGGAGGAGGTGATGGAGGAGGTGAATGAGGAGGTGATGGAGGAGGTGATGAGGAGGTGATGGAGGTGATGAGGAGGTGATGAGGAGGTGATGGAGGAGGTGATGAGGAGGTGATGAGGAGGTGATGGAGGAGGTGATGGAGGAGGTGAGGAGGTGATGGAGGAGGGGATGGAGGAGGTGATGGAGGAGGGGATGGAGGAGGTGATGAGGAGGTGATGGAGGAGGTGATGGAGGAGGTGATGGAGGAGGTGATGGTGGAGGTGATGGAGGAGGTGATGGAGGAGGTGAGGATGGACTCGATGATGGCCGTGTAGAACTGCAGCTTGGCTTTCCTGAGCTGCCGCAGGAAGTACATCCTCTGCTGGGCCTTCTTGATGAGGAGCTGATGGTCGGCTCCCACTTGAGGTCCTGGGTGATGGTGGTGCCCAGGAAACGGAAGGACTCCACAGAGGTGATGGGGGAGTCCATCACGGAGGGTGGGGGCGGGGGGACAGTGCTCTTCCTGAAGTCCACAATCATCTCCACTGTCTTCTGGGCGTTCAGCTCCAGGTTGTTACCACTGCACCAGGACACCAGCCGGTCCACCTCCCTCCTGTAGGAGACACCAAGGACACCAGCCGGTCCACCTCCCTCCTGTAGGAGACACCAGGAGACCAGCCGGTCCACCTCCCTCCTGTAGGAGACACCAGGACACCAGCCGGTCCACCTCCCTCCTGTAGGAGACACCAGGACACCAGCCGGTCCACCTCCTCCTGTAGGAGACACCAGGGCACCAGCCGGTCCACCTCCCTCCTGTAGGAGACACCAGGACACCAGCCGGTCCACCTCCCTCCTGTAGGAGACACCAGGACACCAGCCGGTCCACCTCCTCCTGTAGGAGACACCAGGGCACCAGCCGGTCCACCTCCCTCCTGTAGGAGACACCAGGACACCAGCCGGTCCACCTCCCTCCTGTAGGAGACACCAGGACACCAGCCGGTCCACCTCCTGTAGGAGACACCAGGACACCAGCCGGTCCACCTCCCTCCTGTAGGAGACACCAGGACACCAGCCGGTCCACCTCCCTCCTGTAGGAGACACCAGGACACCAGCCGGTCCACCTCCCTCCTGTAGGAGACACCAGGACACCAGCCGGTCCACCTCCCTCCTGTAGGAGACACCAGGACACCAGCCGGTCCACCTCCCTCCTGTAGGAGACACCAGGACACCAGCCGGTCCACCTCCTCCTGTAGGAGACACCAGGACACCAGCCGGTCCACCTCCCTCCTGTAGGAGACACCAGGACACCAGCCGGTCCACCTCCCTCCTGTAGGAGACACCAGGACACCAGCCGGTCCACCTCCCTCCTGTAGGAGACACCAGGACACCAGCCGGTCCACCTCCCTCCTGTAGGAGACACCAGGACACCAGCCGGTCCACCTCCCTCCTGTAGGAGACACCAGGACACCAGCCGGTCCACCTCCCTCCTGTAGGCGGACTCATCGTTGTTGGAGATGAGTCCAATGAGGGTGGTGTCGTCCGCGAACTTGATCAGCTTCACGATCAAATGCAACAGAAATATTTCACGGGCTATATATTTGTTCCACTTTTTATTTTTTATTTTTGGTAAATCATGGGTTTGGACCCCCACTTTGATGACCACTGATCGAGGTGACAAAACAAAAATTGACTACTTTTTGTCCATCACTTTTAGGAAGGATATTCCTAATCTTAGCGATGTCAAACAGATGGAAATATTTTAGTTACTTGGTTTATATTCACTTCACTTCAATTAAATAAATGTATTCTTGTATAGCCCTAAATCACAACAGTAGGACTTAACACAACTGTTGAAATCGTCAACACAGGTCAGAAAATCAAAAACCGTTTTGGATTTTTATTTTTTTATTTATTTTTATTTAACCAGGAAAGTCTCATTGAGATTAACTCATTGACAGCCATTGATGCTAATTGATCCCTGGTTTGGTCAAAGATCACTCTGAGCACTCTGAGCAGGAGAGACAGAGGTGAAGCAGACATGGAGGAATATAGTCAGGGTCAGGCTACATTTGGAGGCAGTTTGAGCAGTAAATGTGTCTCCAGAGCTGACAGAGACCATGTGGAGGGTCAGGGCAGCAGACCATGTGGAGGGTCCTAGCAGCAGACCATGTGGAGGGTCAGGGCAGCAGACCATGTGAGGGTCAGGGCAGCAGACCATGTGAGGGTCAGAGCAGCAGACCATGTGGAGGGTCAGGGCAGTAGACCATGTGAGGGTCAGAGCAGCAGACCATGTGAGGGTCAGAGCAGCAGACCATGTGAGGGTCAGAGCAGCAGACCATGTGGAGGGTCAGAGCAGCAGACCATGTGAGGGTCAGAGCAGCAGACCATGTGAGGGTCAGAGCAGCAGACCATGTGGAGGGTCAGAGCAGCAGACCATGTGGAGGGTCAGGACAGCAGACCATGTGGAAGGTCAGAGCAGCAGACCATGTGGAGGGTCAGAGCAGTAGACCATGTGGAGGGTCAGAGCAGTAGACCATGTGAAGGTCAGTCAGAGCAGTAGACCATGTGAAGGGTCAGAGCAGTAGACCATGTGGAGGGTCAGAGCAGCAGACCATGTGGAGGGTCAGGACAGCAGACCTTGTGGAGGGTCAGAGCAGCAGACCATGTGGAGGGTCAGGGCAGTAGACCATGTGAGGGTCAGAGCAGCAGACCATGTGGAGGGTCAGAGCAGTAGTCCATGTGAGGGTCAGGGCAGTAGACCATGTGAGGGTCAGAGCAGCAGACCATGTGGAGGGTCAGAGCAGCAGACCATGTGGAGGGTCAGGGCAGCAGACCATGTGAGGGTCAGAGCAGCAGACCATGTGGAGGGTCAGAGCAGCAGACCATGTGGAGGGTCAGAGCAGCAGACCATGTGGAGGGTCAGAGCAGTAGACCATGTGAAGGGTCAGAGCAGTAGACCATGTGAAGGGTCAGAGCAGTAGACCATGTGAAGGGTCAGAGCAGTAGACCATGTGGAGGGTCAGAGCAGTAGACCATGTGGAGGGTCAGAGCAGCAGACCATGTGAGGGTCAGAGCAGCAGACCATGTGGAGGGTCAGGGCAGTAGACCAGCGGTACAGTCCAGTTATGGTCACAGCGCTCGCTGGACTAAACAGAACAACACTCTGTAGATGTAACCACAACAATACACACATAAACACACATACACGCCCAAACACACAAAGACACACAACAGTATTCTATTGCACTTATAGTATGAGTATATCGTCTGTTCACTTTGATTTAATTTCATTTATAGTGTTTATCGTTGTAATTTTGCTTATCTCTGATTTGGATGGATGAATACTGGCCATTCTTTCTGCCAGAGTTTGTCATGGGCTCTACTTTCAATATGTACATTTTGAAATATTTGAACAACACTTTGTGGATGTGTGTGTGCCATAAAATATATTATTTCACATCAAAAACACATAACTTGCTGTTTTCTAACATGTAAGATCCTGGACATGTTTGAGGAGACGCTAAAGTTAAACTAAACAGTCCCTTTTCTGCAGGTTCGTCTGTTTTCACAAACACCTCATTTTCTCAGCTTTTTGTCTCAGACTGGTGCTTTTTCACACTCCTCTCTTTTCGACTGGAGATCACAGGAGAACGAAACAAGATAAAAACAAACTTATTTTTGCTTCTGAAAGTAGACAGTCCTGTCTTTTAGTCTCTGGTTTTACATTTTTCATAGTCATAGCTCACAATATTCTGTGAGTCTTGACAATCAGTGAAGTTATCAAAATGGCAGGCAGTCAATGAGAACCTCTTTTTCAATGGAGTCGTGGACAAAATATACATAAAATTACAGTTTATAAAACAGTCACATACAGATTATAAAACAGTAACAAACATTTTCATAAAATTACGGATTATAAAAACAGTTAAATTTCAATGAGGACGTCTCAGTCTCAATCTGGATCTAAAAGCATTCAAGGAAATAAGTTCAGATAATTTCCAGTCTTTTTGCAACACGTTCCATGTAGAAGGAGCAGCATGTACAAAAGCACAAAACAGAGAGCAAAAAAACACGATACTTTGATCCAAACCATGAGAACATGTCTCTGCGAACAGCAGAGCAAGCCTTAGAAACTAAAGTGCACCAGTTCCAAACCTTCTGATCACTCCAAATAATCACTCACATGAGAAGTTCGCAATGAATTGAACATTTCAATGAATAATTGTATTAAGTACGACCTATATTTTATATCGTACTGTTGAAGACTGGTAAAATGTTACATTAAATATACTTATTTAGGAGCCTTGTTTTTGATGAATACTTACGCTACTGTGTGGTGTTGGTCATGTTGGATTGTGGTGGTACTTGGAGAGGCAAGTATTTTTTGAGGTGGTGCTTGGTGTAAAAAGTTTGAGAATCACTGTTGTAGAATATGTCCTGGATCATCACCACAATCCCTCTTGTTAGCAGCAGTATGTTTACATCTGTACATTAGCAGCAGTATGTTTACATCTGTACATTAGCAGCAGTATGTTAGCATCTGTACATTAGCAGCAGTATGTTAGCATCTGTACATTAGCAGCAGTATGTTAGCATCTGTACATTAGCAGCTGTATATTTTATTTCAACTGTGATGCTGTGAATAAAGACAGTTCTTGTTGGAAACAGTTATTATTCAAAGGTATTTGTGCACAAACAGCAAAACAAATAATGACCTGTACTATACGTTATCCCGCTTATTACACAGCATTATACCAACAGAACACACAACATAAACTTCAGTCCACTTTTAGGAATGCCCAAAGGTTTATTTAATGACAGAAAATAAAATAGTTCCCAAAGGCTTTCCCGTGGCTATGCTAGCAACAGTTAGGCTGGAAACTTCCAAACTAGAACTCTCTGGAACTGCATGAAAACTGAACACAGAATCCTGAACATCAGCGGTGAGTGACCCAAACATAAACTTAACCTAAATCCATAATTCCATCCTCTGCAAATGTTCCTAAAATGTGCCGGTATCTACTTCCGGGTTTTTCGGGATCGCCTTTTCTCGCATTACATCAGTGTTTTGCAGACTGTAAAACAGCTGCAGTACATTCAAAATGCAGCAGCTCGAGTCCTGACTAGAACCAGGAAGTACGACCACATTAGTCCTGACTAGAACCAGGAAGTACGACCACATTAGTCCTGACTAGAACCAGGAAGTACGACCACATTAGTCCTGACTAGAACCAGGAAGTACGACCACATTAGTCCTGACTAGAACCAGGAAGTACGACCACATTAGTCCTGACTAGAACCAGGAAGTACGACCACATTAGTCCTGACTAGAACCAGGAAGTACGACCAAATTAGTCCTGACTAGACACCAGGAAG